AAACCCGCCCAGCAGAAGTTTCCAAGGGAAATAACAACATTGCAGCAGTAACTTATTGGCTTCAACATTTGGTCCAATCACAAACGACAACGAAGAAAATGAATATAGATGACATAAAGACTATAATATTAACGATCCTAAACAGACATCTTTCATCAATGTTTCTAAAAGAAGGGTCATCAATTATAATAGAACTGATAATTTTCTTCATACAGTCTTAACAGTTCCATTCCTCACCACGCGATCACGTAGCCAACATACAGTTTTTCCATAGAGAAAGTTTGTCACAGAGTAATTTACCAGCCGACATACAGTTTTCCATAGAGAAAGTTTGTCACATGAACAGTAACATACCCGCGGGTGGTGGTGTGGGCACGGACAGTGGGATAACAAAAACTTTGTTCAAAAACTCAAAACGCATACAAGCCAGTGTAATCAATACATGCTAAATGTGCCACTATAAGATAACAAGAAAGGGAAACATGACTAAATGACAAACCCATGAGTTGAGACTACTTTCAGCTGGTCCTAAAATTTTCCTTCGATATTTACTGACAGTCTAGTATCCAATTTATGCAAGTTCCTTTTCAGAAACTCTAGGGCTATCACGGGGTATTTACCACAAGATTACTGTCTTCTCAAGAACAACAAAAACTTAAAACGAGAAATTAAGATAAAAGATACTACTGTATACATATAATCTAGATTTGAACTGTACAAAGACTAATGTCACTAGAACTTTCTAAATTACACACATGAATTTGCATAACAAGATTACTGTCTTCTCAAGCATAATAAAAACTTAGGGAGAAATTATGATAAAAGGTACTATTATATACATATAATTTAATTTTGAACCCTATAAAGACTATATTTACACTAAAACTTTGTAAATTGCATTCATCATAACGTAACTGTGACAAGAAACGGCATTTCTACATCCATGATTTTAACAGAGGATCAAAAATCAATATAAATAGAACGGTTATAGAGTTCCCAAGAGATGCCATACAAGCTAATGATGCCCGTGTAACCAAACATCACGATATTAATAACTTTTGGAGACCCATCATTTCATTTGCACGAACTCAACCCAAAAGTCACCAACTCAACATATACTGAATTTACCCAGGATAAAGAATTTTCTGAGCCGACGAAAAACAATTGGAGAAATTTTTAAAACCGACCCAAATCATGTTTTTATTTTCAAAACCGACCCATTTTTTTTATTTATCAAAATCGACTCACTTTTTGCCACGTCAGTTTAATCTCATTTCCTAATTAGTCGGGTTGCCAACACAGACTATTTAGGACAGCAAAAACCAGGTTTAAATCTTCTAATTGGGATTTAACAATCTCCTAAACAGTCGGGGTTGCCAACCTGACTGTTTAAGAATGGGCCTGACTGTTTAAGAATGGGATTAAGCTGACGTGGCAAAAAGTGAGTCGATTTTGATATATAAATAAAAAGTTGGTCGGTGTTGAAAATAAAAACATGGTTTGGATCGGTTTTGAAAATTTCTTCAAAAACAATTAGAAAGGGAAGGGGCTCTATACTCTCAACGGATCCAAATCGAATGCAGAACATCTCCTCCTTCAGCTCCCCATCGGAGAAATCCGGCGCGTGCCACACGCAAGACTTGTCGTTCCCAACGTGCTCCTGTATCTTGATCGCCGGGGAAACTGCAGGCGAGCGAGTCAGTAGCCCGATCGAACCGATCCCGGCACTAAAACCACTGATAAAATCGAAACCCTGAGGAAAAAGCTCACCGTAGTGGTTCGCGCAAATCTTGAGGGTCTTGGCCTGCCTCATAACCAACCGGACTTTGCCGCTCTCCTTGTGCTTCAACAGCTTCACGCTCCCGCTCCCCCGCTCCTTCCACTGGTTCCCCTCTTTATCGAACCGATACAACTTCGCTTTCCTTAAAAAAAATAATAAAAAAAATCAATAAAATCAGATTAAATTGAGATCAAAAGGAGAGGTAAAAGCTTTAGATCTGAGAAATTTACAGGTCGAGGATGGCCTCCTCGTCCTCTTCGCCGGTGGTGACGGCGACCTCCTCGAGCTTGACGATGGGGGCGATCTGGGCTCCGGTGTCCTCGTCCGGCGGCGGCGGCGTGGGATTCTTCTTCGTCTCTGCGATCAGCATCAGAGCTGGCCATGGCGATAATTTGAGAGAGAGTTTGAAGAGAGAGAAGCTTAGCAGACAAGGAACAGGGACTGCTGGAATTAGGGTTTTAATATTATAAAGAGGTTAAAGAGAGAGAGAGAGAGAGAGAGGGGAGGCGGTGGAAAAAAATTGGTAAGTGGGGACCTATGACTCGTAGCTATTATGAAAGGTTAATGGGCCGGGCTGACTAGCTGTCATAACCTTAACGGGCCCAAATTCCGGCCCAAATTCCGGCCCAAATTCGCGCTGTTATATTATTTTGCCTTTTTTTTTCTAATAAATAACCAGTTTGGAATTATGAACCCGCAGGGGTAGTATTGGAACTTTTTAACCATTTAAAATAGGATAGGGACACCTTACTTGTCCCTCCTATTGGTCTCATATTTTGGGTCATTGAGGAATTTTTTCTTTAAATTATTTTCAGTAGTTTTTTTTTACTGTTTTATATTAATATTACGTAATGATTTAAATTGGTTAAGTGAGATAAATATAGATTATAAAATTATATACATAGCAATATAGAGAAAGGGGTTTCTTTTCTGTTAATTAGGTAAGGGGTTGTTTGGTTTCAGTAAAAATCTGACATTCGATATGGATTACAAATTTTGGGATAAATTTTAATTTTTTTATTTTGGGATTCAATATTTGGTTTTTGTTTCAATAATTTTTTTGGAATATTGAATCCCAAAAATAAAAAAACACCCAATTTTTTTAGAATTTGTCAAATCCTTTCAATTGGAGAGGATTTGACAAATCCCATAGCGGGCTATTTAGTTTAAATGCCAAAATATTAGGATTTGTAATCTCATGTAGATCTTTAAATCCGTAGGGTTTTA